TTTGGGATTGACTGTATAGCCAATACATCCTTAAATTACGAGGAGGTCGGGAACAATCTGCGAATCACATGAACGGTCGTTCAAGTTCACTGTTCGCAAACTGTGTCCGAACCCGTACTTACTTGTCATGTACGTGATGTATTGGGAGTCGCTGATGTTTCCTGAAAGAAGTCGGTTGAGAGTCGAGTCGTGTCGCAGGCGAGAAACGAAACGCGGGCCTCGCTCGTTACATTCGCGCGAGCACTGCGATTTCCCGTTGTTCCGATCGAGTGACGTGAAAATCGATTTACGCGAAACGCGAAAAGACATGCGACCGCCGTGCAATGACTTCGTCGAATGACTGACGCCAGTAGCGAGAGAGCAATCACGTGCACACCTGTGGCTCGTGACGTCTGAAAAACCGCCAGTCGCTAGTGTGCGTGCGACTTCGAGCCGCGACGTTCATGCATTAAATGTTCACGTCCGAGTACTAACACCCCCAAACCCCCACATCGGTTTTCCTTTTTCATTATATTGCAGCGCATGAATTTTTGTCTTTCCTTCCCATCTCGCCAAGGTTTTGTCCTAAGAAGAAACGACTACGTTTGCTTCGGCTTTGAAACACATGTATTATTGTACGATATGAAGACAAATCTTTTGAGACGAACGTTCGTTTGTCTCGAGACCGTGTCCGTTTGTCTTAAATCAGGGTAGACAGGGAACAGTGGAGGGGGAAGAATTTTTCAAACGCGGGGAAGATGCATGGGTGGTTGGCTCGTCGAAGAAAAATGCTCGGGGTGCGCGGCCTCGATTCGAGACTTATCGAGCCGCTACCCTATCTCGCTGGCCGAGGAAAAAATCGGTGAAACATTCGACTTAATAGCTCGACGTCGGAGGAGACAGATCGAGAGCGTTTAACTCGGCTTCTAAGTTAATTTATGTTTTCGCCATCGTGCACACACGAGTCAATAAATTCACAGTGTGTCTAATTGAAAACAGAGAGGCCAAATTCTTACTATGCACATATGTATAATATAATGAGCTCGTACGACTGTCTCGTCCCATAGCACGTACATCACACTTTTTACAAATCCTAATTACCATAGGTAATTTAAGATGTGAAACACTGTTCCTAGTTTTACGAGTGGCTAACCCATATACCATGCGAGCGTGCCAGAGAGAATGAGAGATTGGCATCGCGATCACGATCGCGAGGACGCGGGCTACTTTTGTCGACGAGGGCAGAGCGAAACACCGATTCGCTCCGTTTGCCCAAGCGGTGCGCTCTCACCCCTATTTATTTTTCATCGCGGAATCCACCGGCGCGCCTGTATCGAATTTGACGCGACAATTTTTTCCATTTTCCCCCGTTTTTCTCTCGAGCGTGTCGTCGAATTTTAAGCGATCAATGAAACATCGGTTAAGCGAACCTAAAATTACCCAAATAGATTACTCAAATACAGAAATATGTTTCATGGAAATATTTAATGATTCTTGCTTCTGGTAGAATGGATCGCATCGACTCGAGTAACTTTTACCCGGGGCTGGAAATAAACGCGAACCGATGCGCGCGTACGCGATACTTAATCGAGGCGGTGAGAAAAGGATCCGGGTCGCCGGACCCGGGGCCGGGCGCGTGCTCGTTTCCAGCGACACGGAATAATTCACGAGAAACCGTGAACGCGGGTTACGTTACGATTCGTCGGGGGGTATTCGCAGCAATAATTAACGACGCTCTCGAGCAGAACGTAAATAAAAGTTCGGAAAACGCGGGGGATCGATCGGCCGCGTCCGAGCGACGGGACAGAGAGAGAATCTCCGAGTGTAATTTTTATTACCCGTTCGTTTCGCGTTATATTCCGCCCCCGCCGGGAGGTATAGGCGCTTGCCGTGTCTCTGGAAATTGCTCGGATAAACGAAACGGTTAACGTAAGAATTCGATTCGTGATCAAACGGGAGTGGTTCGAGTATCGGCGGGGGGGAAAAATTAAAAAGGTCTGAACTCGCGTGCCTGCGCGGGGGAAAAGGTACGAGTTCGATTAAATTTCGATGCAGCCGGTGATCGAAAATAAACGAGGGGACGGCGAGGAAAAGGAGGCGAATCGATGGCCTAGACCCGGATTAATTTCGTGGAATCGCGAGTGTCGAGCCCGAAATCACGTTTAACGTTCGACCAGCCGGACGCGCGCGGTACGTACAGGTTTTGCGGGCGTACGCGGACCTAAAGGATGGGTGCCTCGTGGGATTCGTGATCTACGATATTGGCGTGATCGGTCCGAGACCACGAATTCGTGACTCGAACACGACCGTCGACTTTAAACAATTTTCGAGATACTACTCAGATAGACTTTTATGATCGTCATGAGACGTACAAATTAATTTATCAAAAATTGCAGATTATCTCCAGCTAAAACCTATTTCAGTAAACACATTAACGTCGAACTGAGACGAATTTTGTATCGTATTCTGAGCTGATTTCGTTATTAACGAACCGATACATACAGGATTTTGTAACGCACTATATCGCAAATTTGCTGTAAATCGTCTATCCGGACACTCTTTCATTCTCAACGACCACACATGGTCACAGTGAAACGATTAAAACGTCACCGGACAGAAAGCACTTACGTCGCCGAAAATCATACAAAGGCGATAAGCACGTAAGGCCGACAAATGGTCGACTTTCACTACTTGATTACCGGGGTAGGCGGCGGCAGCAGCAATAAACACGTAAAGCTGGGCGCTCGAGAATATATTCGAATGATTTTACAGCAGACCTTGACCGCGTAAGATCTATGGTCTACAGACTTTTATGGTCTCGCAGAGAGTTACGACGGATCTTTATCAACACACAGTATCGCGATGGGTAAACGGTTTCACGAAAGTTTTCGCGAGATCGTTCCATTGTGAATGCATAATGGAAGGCATACCTTGGGAGCGTGATCGACCGATCGGAATCGTCCCCGGAACGAAGTCCGCTGTATAGAGGGAAGAAGAAGGGGCCAATCGTCGGCGATTGCCACTGTCGTCGTCGGCAGTTCCGTATCTCGAATAGCCTATGTGGCCTATACCGGACCGCTAAGAGGGTGGAATTGATTAAATAATTGGCCCCTTAGATCGGAGGGAGGGTGGGGGCTTAGTTTCTGGAATGAATACGCTGGCTGTCGGCCAAGGCTCGTTCGAGCCATCGGAGACGAAGGGAGCAAACGAAGAACGGCGGAAGGGGTTGAAAACCACTCCTTCGCACGAAGTACCCGCCGCGATCGCAACGGGAACACCGCTACTGCCTGGCTCGATAGAGACAAAGAGCAGGGAGAGAGGTAGAAAGAGAGATTATCAGAGGTCGTCTCGCCTACGTTACTTCGTCGTGTATAATATTTCACGAAATGATTCAGAAACGAAAAAACATGTGGGCTTATCTCGGTCACTGTGAAAATACTCGCGTTTGAATACTTTGCCGGGCCGTATTCGAACTGACAATGTCGCGTCATCGAGCGTGGTTCACGATCCGCGTTAATTAACGTACCTTTATGCGAAACCGGCCCGATCGCAATTTTTTGCTATCGCAAAAACGGCCACCGGCTCGAACGATCGACGATGACCGGTCCGGTGGACCGAAATTCGCGTATGTACATACGTATGTATCTACAATGTACGACCCCCCGCGAGTTTTCCGCACTTTCGAGCCGTTTGTTTATCGTAACGAGATAAGATACGCCAGCCACCGGTGTGTTTCGTTCATACATCACCGGCACGTATTACGTAAAATGCGCGTACTAGTTTTTTTCCTCTGCTTTTCGAGGCACCCGCTGGCGCACTCGCATTTTATACTCCGGCCGGTTCTCTTTTTTCTCGCGTCCTACCCCCTCGCTCTTTCTCTTTCGCTGTTTTCCGTTTCGCACGCGAATCGGAGTCCTGATCGGAAAAGCGGATAGTGGAAATGCGACCCAGTAACAAGAGCCCGTAATTTCAGTCGGCTGGCGAGCTGCGCCGCCTCGGTCAAGCCAGCCGTTAACACCCACGATGCGTTAAAGACCTCGAGACTTCGCGTGATAGCCTTTCGAGAAACTCGTTTTCTGGGTGATAGGAGGCATGCGATTAAAGCGACTGCCTTCGTGTGTTTCCGTGTACGTATGCGTTGCTATACTAATTAGACCTCGGTTTCCATGACGCGACCGAGTTCGATGCTGACGTACGAACAACTTCAATCGGATTCTCGTCGACGAAACAATCGTGCTTCCGAAACCCGTTCCGAAACCCGCGAATCGATCGACTTACAGGCGATACGCTCGTCCCCGGCGTGCAATTTCCACGACCCTCTTTCCTTCCTTTCCTTTTGCCAGACCGAGAAATAACCGGGCCGCAATTATCATTATCGATATCGCGGGATATTTCGACGGGGGAGTTAATCGATTCGACAAAGCGATTCCTGTAGCCGGTCGAGCGATAAGGGCCGGGCGAACTCGCCGATACTGTTTACATGCTGATACCTTTCATGTACTCACGATTTCGAATTGTTACGCGCGATCCGACAAAAGGAGAGAAGATATTATACACAGAACAAATTAAAGTAAAAACGAATTTAAAGAGAGAGTCGTAAAATTATCGCCGACCGAGCCCGGAAATGGTTTGGATGCCGATCACGAGGAAACAAAAAGGGGAAACGGGGCCGGGGGTCGGTCGCGGTGGGTCCTCAGATAATAGACATAAATATTCCGCGGGTTTTTTCGGATTTATATTTCGCGCGTATCAGAGCCCATCTCATTTGCATGGGGAATTTACTGTGCGCGACTCACCCTTTTCCCCAGCGTTTTCCACGTACGCGAGGCTCGAGAGAGCAGCCCGGTTGATCGCGCTCTCTCGCTGCCTAGTCAAACTCTCGGCCAACAAAAGGAAACGAAAGGGCGGGGCAAAAAACCAGACGGAATGAGAAATTGAGGAAAAACGGAGGGGCAACGTTCGGAAGATATACCCGAGGCCCGATATAACTCCTGACTAAGCTCAGCTATTGAAAAATGATATTCTAGTCCCGCGAGTGAAATATTATCGCTCCCTGTTCCGTCGCGAGCGGATCTAGAACCGTGAATAACCTTTCCGTTCCGCGAGAGGACGGTGCTCAAACTCTCCTGACCGATCGACTCGAATCCATCCGAGTCAAAGACAATTATTAATGACGACCTCT